CCAACGGTCGCACGTCTGGCTCCTCTCGCTTTGCGCTCCGCAGCCAGCGCCTCAACTCTTGCGGGAGCGTAGCTAGTCCTTTCACGCTTCTTTCAATCAGCCCTTCAGTCAGCTGAGCAGCCAGCTTGATCTTGCGCTCGCTGTGATCGGGCAGGCGGGCTTAATGCGCTAGATGAGCGAGATTCCAGTCCTTAAAGAACTCCAGCCAGCCTGTGCGCTTAAACCATCCTGTCTTGTTAGTCTTTGCAGCTTCTTCTAGTGTTTGCAGCTCTTCCTTAATTTCTTGTTGTGTTAATCTGTACTCAGCAAGCTGTGCCTGGACGTGGGTTTCCATCGCAGCGTCTTCAGGATCTCTAGCATCTATAAAACCAACAACAAAGTATTTCTGCAGTCCTCCAGTGCAGAAAAAGCTCTGCACCTTCACAGTCCTATAGAGCAAGCTTTTCTCTCCTACCCACGCTTGCTCATGATTTCGCTTGCAGTGCTTGCGCATCTCATCTTTGTTGATTGTGATCTAGCTGTATGTCTCGCACTGCGCACTATTAAGTGGCTTTCCTAGCTCTTCTATTGGCTGCGCGGGCTCTTCTGGGAGCTCAATCGCGCTTAGAGCGACGGTCTTAAATTGAGTGAAGCACTCAAGTATCTGTCGCCGTAGCGCAGCAGATGCAGCATGATATTTGCGGAGATGCGCATCAAGACTCACAACTGCTGTACAGTGCTGCTTGCAAACAATAACGCTAAAGCCTTTAAGAAAGCAGAAAACGTTATCAGAATTGCTGAGTGTGAGCTGCCAGGGCCATCTGTAGGAGTTTGCAGTGTTGTTTTCGCTACTGCCTGAATTGTTTGCTTGGCTGTCCCACACAAGCTCCATCGCGCAGAATGTAAGGAGCTGGCCTCTGCGGGCTATTTGCAAGTATAAATTAAATAGATTTGTTGAGGAGTGGCTGCAGGCAGAGGTCTGCAGACTTTTATGTCCTCCGTGCGGAGGTTACACAATTAGTCAAGATTAGGACCTCCTGACTGGGGGTACAGCTGGGCAGGCACCTCCTCTTAGAGGTTGGCCGAGGCCAGCGAGCGCTGAGGCGCTACTATTAGGCCTAGCCCGTTACACAGAAACCCTAACCCTACTTACTATAACAGCACTAAGTTTTGCTGAATAGACAGACAAAACGCTTAGCGTTGCTGCGCAAAGTATATAGGAATTGAGTTTGTATAAGATATTTTTTAATTTAGGCCTAAAGTAATGGCGGGTTAGTGGTGTTAGGGTAACGTGGGGGACCACCAAAGCAGATCGCTTAAAAGGGGTTAAACCCTAACGCTAAGCCTCTTTTGCCGCGGTTCGGTGTCCTCCCCGCGCCCTTATCTTGGCTAGGGAAGTCTACCCCTGTGCCTAGCGCTGACGTTGCTGTCATCAGCCCTCCTTCTATCAACCACTGCTTCACTTAGTCCTCACAGTTGGGCACGTCGGCGTGATAGCACCCGCACCCCAGCACCTCAGCTAGCTCTTCACACTGCTGCTTGCTGCGACAGTACACCACGCCCTTCCAGCCTCTGCTAAGCAGTAGCTGCTGCTGCCGTCGACACATCGCCACCGC